TTGGTGCACCTTGAGCTGAGCGTATCCTTCAAAGCTAGCAACAAGCTTCTTTTTCGGACAATTATATGGTCAACTTTGTGCGTTAGTGCAATGGTGGGCTTCGAGCTTTGCTTTCGAGACTTCCGTCATGATTTGGAGAGGACCATGAAATTAATCCATTGCTTTCCTTGTTTACATTTTTCTATACATGTGATTGGGTATAAACGAGGGAATATGAGTGTGGAATTTAGCGGTTTTATACCTCTTGATATTTGATAAGGCTTCGTGCCATTTGGGATTTGAATAATTAATAGGTAAATGACCCATTAATTAGAATTTGAGTATAACGATCTAGAAGGGTTTTAGAGCCACGTCGCATTCAACTTTTTTAAAAGGGAACTTGATGGTGCTTTGACTTGTCTTGTTGCACTTCTTTTTCTCCTCCTTTTTTTTGTTTGGTGTTGATGAGATGGGATTGCCCATTTTTTCTTCCTTGCTTTTCTTTGTCTTGGAACCCTTATAAGTTTGTCTCCATCTCATCTTTTTTTCGTTCTTCATATAAGCAACATTCCTTATAAAATTAGGAACTTTGTTGCGTGAGCAGCATCCATTAAATGGAAATCTAGGAACTGTGCTTTGCAGACTCCTCTTTTACTATTTGAAGAATTTGTAATTACTTGGTCAAAGTAGCAGGAGTGAATTTAGTTTATATAAACCAGGGATTCATTCTGGTTTCATGGTTGCGTCTAAAATTTGATATCAGACTACCTACGTATCCTTAACGGAATCAAACCAGTGTAGTTCATGAAATATTTGATTTGGATTTGTAGACTTGTGTTCAGACTTGGCAAAATGAAAAGCCAATTGGATTTATTTAAAACCCATATATGACCTTCGGTAATCACCTAATAGGCTTTGTGAAATACGACTTTGATTGGTCTTTTCCTTAAGTAGCTCAGGACTTGAACACATAAAGTTGGACTCCAAGTCCCACGTGAGATGCACGGTTCAGTCTTTTCCATAAGTAGCTCAGGACTTTGAAGACATAAAGTGGGACTCCAAATCGCACGTGAGATGCACAGTTCAAAAACCCAATCAGAAATATTCCCTGCTCCAGTATTTGTTTCTCTAAATAGCGATGTCGATATACTCGAGCTCCCCGTTGATTTCGCAATGTTTTTTTTTTTGAAATTCCTTTTGAGTTTGTTAGCCGTTGAATTCCAAATAAAGATGGGTAAGATTGATGGAGTTCAAACTCTTTTGAATTGCTCCAAATTATCCTCTTTTCCTCCTAAACCGTTGCTTGTGCTCCTTTTGTGGATCGAAAATTTCAAAACGAAAAAGAGAAGAAGATAACCAGCAAGTGACCCCATTTTCATTTTCTGTGTGTCTGAATTTGATTCGGACTGGGTTGAAGCTCTGAACTGCAACTGATTGGTTTAATTATTTCGTGCAGGTGTCACTGGCAACAACATCTCTTCAATTTGGTTGTTGCTGTGTCCTTTAGGTAATAAGCTTCATTGGGTTGTAAAAACCCTCTTTTTGTGTACTGGTAGATGATAAACCCAATTTGATGTTGGTAGTTTTCGTAGTCTAAATTTATTTAACTTTTCGTTTATCATGAGTAGCTTTCAGTACCAGTTTGACTTGATTTTTGACATGGTTGTTGGACAAACTATTTTGCAGCATTGAGTTCGTTGAAAACAAGCGTTGATTCGTGACTCCAAAGGTGAGAATTGCACTCATTGTGTCTGCCATATTTTGAATGAGTCTTGATGTATTAGTGTCTGATTATCACTTTTTGACATCACCGTTTTCTCCTTAGAGAGTCATGTGACTTGGTTTGGTCAGTAGGCATTAGACGCTTTTTTTTTTTTCCATCTATGTGTTTCCTTCTATGCTGAATCAGAAAAGAAATAGGCATTATGCCTTTTCCATTTGAATGTCATGTGAGTGGCTTTATGATATCCATGTTTATGGTAATTTGATCATGCTCGCTATTCTTTCTCATCAGCATTAGTCATTCATAACATTTTGTCCTTTCATTTTGGAATCCATCAACATAACTTGGATTTTTTGAGCTTTTGCAGATATATAACATCAAGGCACTTTGAATTCTTTTATATTCTTGTCCCATGCCTTACCTTTCTTTTTTGGTAAAGTCTCATGCTTTGACTTTGGTCCATCTTTGAAACACTATGCAAACATCATCCCAATATATTTTGCTGGAACTTTACGAATATAAAGGGAGACATCATCATTTTCAATTTCTCATTTTTTTCTTGGACTCTTATCCCAAGTGGGTTTTCATGGAATTTTATGCAATGGCATCCTTCGTGTCTTGTACCCGTGAGTAGCAAAGAAAACGCGAAAGATTTACAAAAAATTTCTTTGCTCTCGAGTTGCATGTTGGTATATGTTGCTCTCTTGTTGTTTTTCTTCACAGAGACCAAGCATAAGTCGGTCAAGGGGAACAAAAGTTGCATTTTGGCTTCTTTTGATCCATAAATGCACCTATTTTCTCATTGGACTACAAAGAATGACTTTGCATATAAAACTTGGCTTCCTATGTCTGCTTCCTTAGCTTGATTTTTGACAAATGGCATTTAGAATGATCCTTTGTTGTTTTCAAGTCTCTTTAACTTTACCTAACATAATAACCACATTACATGATAACCACATTATGGCATTCATGTTATCTAGAAGACTTTTCTTCCTTCTCCTCCTCTAGAGTAATCTTTAAAGTCTAGAATGCCAGCAACGTGTTGATTGGAACTTCATGGGGGTGGTTTAGACCATCCCGAAGAAATTCATGGGATTGACGGCAGCGGCGGGAAGCAGAACTTGTGTGTTTTTGTTCTTTTTAGATTTAGGCAAAAAGATAACATGTGGCTGCTACCATTTTTGGACTGCTTTGTGTTGTTGTTGCAGGTATAGAGGAATACAGGGCTACCATTTAAGAAACCCTCATTGCATAGAAACCTTTTATGGTGGCTTGTTGGCAATTTTATTGTATAAACTGAAGGTTACAGGTTCTAGGTAGTTGATTATGCCCTTTTTTTTTACCCCACTTTTGTCTGCAACACAACATCAAACAAGAGAAATAAATAATTTAACAGGACTTGTTTCATACCTGGTGATGAATGTTCTTCTTTGGATCTTGACTCGAAAGCACAAATGGTTGAACTCCTTGTTCTCTTTTGTGGCAGCACTTCGTTGCTTTTGGTATTTTCTCTCAAAGTTTCTCTTATTTTCTGCAGAGTATCTTCTCTCTTTTTCTGTGTCTACCCTTCTTACTGCAATTGATGCCTATTTATAGACATATTATAAGGGCTCTAGAGCTTTATGTGGGGGGAGATAGAGGCCATGTCTTCATCCACTTTCTCTTAACCTCTCTTACTGACTCCACGTTCTTTTGTTGCAGAAAATGGGGAGCCCCTGTTTTGCACGCTACTTCCCCCTTTTGTAGGAAGGAATTCATATCTTATTTATTATTATTTAATTTATTTATGGATGTTTGATTTGTATGTAAAGCCTATTCTCATCTTTTGGGCTGAATTACTTTTTTATTTTACTTTGTAGTTTCACCCAATTTGTACGGGCTCTATTTTTTTTTATATGTTATATATTTTTGTTGTTCAACACTTGGATCAGTCAACAATTTGTTTTCTGCAACTTGTTTTGCTTTAAAGTGAGAACTGTGAAAACCCGTACTGCATCTTATTTGATCCTTTTAAGGGAGAAGTTCTACCGCTCTCGGTGGGTGACGTCCAAGTACCCGAAGAACACTGTATATATGACAAGTATGGTATGGGATTTGATGATTTAACCAGCACCCATAAAGTGATTCGTGTTTCTGCAGATATCTAAAAGAATATGGTAGCCCTAGTTCTTGTCTTGGGCACAAACTCGTGGCGGAAGATACACTCGGTTCCTCCTCATCATATAAGCTCATCAACAAGCTTATTATCTGCAAACGGAGACATGCATTGGTTGATTCATTTGGCCGCCGACCAATTCTCAAGTAAAAGAGAAAGCTGTATAGTTTCTTTCGACTTCAAGACAGTTGAGATATGCGCCTATTTATTCTGAATTCACGCGTCCACTCTTTCCTTTCATTTGCACCAATATCTCCACATCCTATTCAATCAAGCAATATGCGCCTATTTATTCTGAGAGGATGCATGGCATTTATGGCCGTCAGAGGTAAGCATGTTGAGATATTGGTGCTGAAAAACTATGAAAGGAAAGAATGGACGCGTGAATACACCATAAATCTTCTGGTTCATGATCATACGCTCAAGAACCATCCGCGGATTGCTAATTGTGGTCAGTGGGAGCATGGCATTTTTTTCTTGGATTCTCATAACAATGCATTATTTTTCGATGTAAGGTGTCCGTTCCCTAAAACATGTGACATATCCAATGTTATTTCCTAGAGACCCATCCCTCAAACACTATGGCAATGTGATTGACCAAGAACAAGTGTCTTCCGGTATTGATTTGGAATCCAGCGAGTTCGAATGGACTTTCAAGAAAAATGTTGTCCAATCAGAAGAACATCACTGGAAGCGTAAAGTTTTTCAACAAATTGTGGAAACATTCTTGAACAGAAGGAAGGAGTAGGAATAATTTCTTTTATCTTGAGAAGGTGCACGAGGCTAAGGCTTCAATGTTCCGCGAGAGGAAGTTTCTTTTTTTGTTGTGGCATTTGACTGATTGTACTTTCTTATTTTTTTTCACCGAAAATTGTCATTCGGAACGATTCCCTATACAAATTTTCTTTCGTGCTTTTAATAAATTTAGAGTGCTAATAACAACTGTATTGTTTTGTTGTTTGATGTTGTATTGCTATATATTTATATTGTTTTTCTTTGAATTTTGCTTCAAACAAAGTAAGGGAGACAAAATGTAAACAAATCAAAGGACCCAAAAAATACACACAGCAGGGTAAAGATCAAAGGAAGTCAGCATGAGGAAAAATAAACACCCGAAAAACATATCAGAATGCGCCAACGACCTGTAAATACGAATTAACTGACCCATCGATGAACAAGTCTACGGATATAAATATATGCAAAACGTGAGAACAAGCTTCAACATAGGCTGGAAATGCTCGTCTCCATAAGAATTAATGCCATTAGATGAGAACCAACGTAAACATTAGATTGACGAGAACTCGGACCGACACGAGTTCAAAATTGACATGAATCTGAGACCTATACAAGTTCAATGTATGCCATGGGTGCATTGTCCCCTCGCCTAGGCAGAGTTCTGATGATTCTTGTATAGCCACCATTCCGCTCCCCATATCTGTCGGGTACCTCAGCAAACAAAGCATGGACGATCTGTTTCTCATAGATATATCCCAGCGCCTGTCTCCTCTTATGGAGAGATCCATCCTTGGCCAGTGTGATCATCTTGTCCACGTACTTCCTCATGGCACTTGCCCTTGCTCGAGTCGTTTTGATGCGTCCATGTTTAAGGAGCTGAGTAGTGAGGCCTCGAAGAAGGGCTTTCCTCTGGTCTGGAGGCCTGTTGAGCTTAGGAACTTTCCTGCCATGTCTCATGGCAGAGACACGACCACCATTGTCAATGATGGTGAAGTTGTGTTCAAAACACATGGACTCTGTGAGAAGACAGAAAAAAGCATGAAGGTCCTGCCAACACAGACACCAAATGACAGAGAACATATCTAAACAGAAACGTGACAGTAAACAATCTGATGAAAGTAAGACAAACAAAATCCACAATGCAGTGCAGTATGGATTTCACGTTTCAGAAGTCCCAAAACCATCTAAACAGAAACGTGACAGTGAATAATCTCTGGATGAAAGTCAGATAAACAAAATCCACATTGCAATGCACTATGGATTTCCCATTTCGGAAGTCCCAAAACCATCTAAACATATCTAAACAAAAAACGTAAACGAAAAACAAAAAACGAAATGGCTGTCAAACGAGCCTTAAAAAGTAAAGAATGTGTTGCTACAGATGCAATTGAAGTTCCGTGAAGTAAACTGAACATATACAAAGATACAAGGCTGAACTCAAATAATGCACAAAGATACGAAATTTAACTGCAATAATCCACAAACACACCAAATTGAACAGAACCAAAGCACAAAAGATACCAAATTGAGCTGAAATAATACACAAAGATACATAATTGCACTCGAAAATACGAACCCAGCTGCCGCCATTGATAATTACAGGAGATAATTCAGCAACAAAAGGAAACGGTAGTGACGGAGAAGAGAGTGGTACCCGAGAGGCCGAGGGAGAGGAGCGGGTTAAGGGGAGAGAGACCCGAGAAAGACCCGAATTGGAACTCGGGTTTCCGGAGACCGACGCTGAGGCGGAGGCTCCGATGCCTGCACGGTGCCGAAGAAGAAGAAGCGGTAGGAATGGTGCACCTCTCCGGCAGGGATGGAAGCGCCGCCTTCAGAGACGCCATGCTCCATCTGCTGCATTCTGCTGACCCGGTAGCCGTTGCCAATGCCATTGTCACCGCCATTTCAAAACCATACAACAAAATCTCTGGCTCTGCTCTTCCTATTTTGTTCCTCCTTATCTACGAGGCTACGAGCCGTGGGTTCTGGGTTAGTGGGTTGGGCTTGGGTTTTCCTATGGGCCCAAAATTCAGTCCTTAAATTTGGGCCTCTTTCAACTTTTGCCCCAACTAGGCCCAATTGGCAACAACACGAAATCTATCTGTATATTTAAAAAAAAATTCATAATTGGAGAGAAAGAAGCCGGATCTCTCCCAAATCACTCGATTAAGTGATCATGACCTTCTAAATTTTATCCAACGATTAAAAATTATCACAATTTTTAAGAAATCAAAATAGATGGTCCGTTAGATGGAATTTAGAAGGCTCTGATCAATTCATCAGGTGATCTTGATGGAAGATATCTGAACGATGATGTCTTTCCGAGGAAGAAAGAAATAAAAACCAACAGTGGTCCCACAAACTGTAAACAACAGCGAGGAGAGAGAGAGAGGGAGGGAGAGAGAGAGAGAGAGAGGAGATCCACAGCCACAGGTCCATCACCATCAAAGCTCCTCCCATCACAGAGTTCAAGGAGAAACCCAGATTTTAAAGTTTGAACCTTCAACTACCACTGCGACTTGGAGAACAAACCCAGATTTTCTTTCCCCCTTTTTGACCCTGTAATTTTCTAATTAAAGCCTCATCATTTGCTTTTTGTCAGTTAAAAAGTAGTGATTACTTACTAATTAAGTGTTTAAGCACAGTAGCGAGAGAGAGAGAGAGAGAGAGAGAGAGAGAGAGCGGCGTGAAAAAGGTGAGAGGAGGAGGAGAAAAGCGAAAGCCACCGAAGAATGAGACTCTGCACCACCAGCAGAGTCGGAGCAGCACAACAAAAGCAACAACTTCATCATACTCAGCCGCTTCTGCTTTTACTTACTGCTTCTGCTGGAAGTCCTTTTTCTGCTACTTGTAACTGTCAAATTAAGTCAAGATGGGGAACTGCGGGACGAGGGAGGAATCAGCTGTGGTGACCAATGCTCAAGGTTGGTGCTTTGCGAGCTCCAGATGCTTCAAAAGTTCAGATCTTTCTGCTTAAATCTTCGGATTTTATGATTTTTCAGCTTTTGGCTTATGGCTTGGCTTTTTTTATTTTTATTTTTATTTTTTATTATTGAGCAGTTCAGCAGCTGAGCACGCTGGCGTCTTCCGTGAAGAACGGCGGCGGTGAGAGGAAGCAGAATCACAGCCGTTCGATTTCAGATCTGAGCGATCCTTCGACGCCACGGAACTTCGAGGACGCGCGGAAGAATGCGGTGCTGTACACGCACGTCATCGCCTTCACGCTCTTCGAGCTCGAGACCATCACCAAGAGCTTCCGCTCCGACTACATTTTGGGGGAAGGCGGCTTCGGGACGGTGTACAAGGGCTACATTGACGAGAACGTTCGGGTCGGGTTGAAATCTCTGCCAGTGGCCGTCAAGGTCCTCAACAAGGAGGGCCATCAGGGCCACCGCGAGTGGCTGACGGAGGTCAACTTCCTCGGTCAGCTCCGCCACCCCAATCTCGTGAAATTGATTGGGTACTGCTGCGAGGACGACCACAGATTGCTGGTTTACGAGTTCATGTTCCGAGGGAGCTTGGAGAATCATCTTTTCCGGAGTAATTAAGCTCTTAATCTTTCGATTTTTCGGGTTTTTGTTTGGTGTATTGTGGTGATTTGGTGTTGCTAATTAGGGTTTTTGTGAACATTTTTAGAGGCAACTGTTCCGTTATCGTGGGGGACGAGGATGATGATTGCTCTGGGAGCTGCCAAGGGGCTTGCTTTTCTTCACAATGCCGAAAGGCCTGTGATTTATCGAGATTTCAAGACTTCGAATATCTTGTTGGACTCTGTAAGCTGTGTTTCTGTGCACAAATTAATTATTGAATGATTGCATGCAAGCTCGAATTAGTCTCTCTGGTTGCATGTGTATGCAGGATTATGCTGCTAAGCTTTCGGATTTCGGGCTTGCTAAAGCTGGACCTCAAGGGGATGAAACCCATGTATCGACTCGCGTTATGGGTACCTATGGATATGCAGCCCCGGAGTATGTAATGACTGGTATGGTGTGTTCTTACATGTTCAAAATGCTTGATTTAGCTGATGTAGTTGTTGGAACATGATGAATTCAATTAGTTGAGTGGGAAAGAGTCTAGATTTTTCTCTGGTAAAGATGAACAACATTTAGTTATAGTAACCCGAAAATCTGATTGATTCCAACATAAAAACTGCGAACTGGGTGCTTTGGGAGGGTTGGGATGATCGATATTACCAGCATTAGTACCATTTGAGTTATACTCTTGCTATGTAAGTGGTTGTCTTTCGACTTTCATTCTTTCACTAGAATCAGATTTTATTTTCATTGGTAGAAGGGTAAGGATGCACCTGGTTAGGTATTGCCAAATCAGGCTTTTTGGAGGGGAGGTATAGAGACTGAGTAGCTCTTTGAACATGAGCGATTGTGCTTGATTGACATAGAGTTTCAACATTGCTTCAGAGAATAAACCCTGATTTTACGTAGTACTGGATGCTTGGCTTCACTGCACTTTCTGTTGAGATCTTTCCATAAAAGTTTGGCTTCTATAGCAACTGAAAATTGATTTCATACCTTCTCGGCAGCTCTAATGCATTTTCTGGCCAGATCTTTTCATAAATGCTTAGAGCTGGACTTGAATTAAGGGATTCTTGGCAGCTTCAATGCACTTTCGCTTCAAAATTTTCGTAACTGTTACTGATTGCATTAGAGTATGAGAGGTTGAGATATTGTCACTTTTCATTTAGATAGGTATCCCAAACCTTTAGGTACACATACGAATCAGTAATCAATTCTTAGCGGGTAGATCTAAGATTAGAGCTCTCGCAGTAAGTAACCAATTCATATGCACTTTGTTATTGAAGTGATGAAGGACTTGTAGGTTTGACTCAAGAGTGTTGCTATGTCCACGTACCCTGTTTTTTCTTCTCTGTAACTTGCTGAATAAGTCTCGTGGTCCCTTTTCCATTTCAAAATTGTGTATATGACCAGATGAAGAAATGCCGACATTAGCTGTCAATGTGTTTAATTTTCTTGTTCACGTAATGTAAGAGTATTAATTGCATGTTTTGTTCTGAATCAATTCCATGTGAAATGATCAGGCCACCTGACTGCCAGGAGTGATGTATACAGCTTTGGAGTTGTTCTCCTTGAGCTTTTGACAGGAAGGAGATCTGTTGACAAGACGAGACCAAGCAGGGAACAGAACTTGGTAGATTGGGCGCGGCCAAAACTGAACGACAAAAGAAAGTTGCTACAAATAATCGACCCTAGGTTGGAGAATCAGTACTCAGTCAGGGCAGCACAGAAAGCCTGCAGCTTGGCATACTACTGTCTCAGCCAAAACCCCAAAGCAAGGCCCTTAATGAGTGATGTAGTTGAAACTTTGGAACCTCTACAAAGTTGCAACGAACCAAGTGACTCAGCGGGAGGACCATTTGCCATGACCAGAATCCCTGAGCACAGAATGCGTCACAGGTTTTCTAACAATGTAGGTCCTGGTGTTGTTTGTCGATCTCCCAACCCAAATTTATCGCCAGGAGGTCCTGCAGCTTGCAGAGTTAGATGAGAGTGTCATCTATTTTATATACTTGTTTGTACCTTGTATGCATCATCCCCCAACCTTTTTTGCAATGACAGAATTTGCTTGTTATATATAGTATCGCCGTCTTCCTTTACCTTCGGTAATCGTTTCTGTTCGACGCCTGCATTTATGTTGCAGATCTGCTTTTTAAGTAGAGTGAGGCCATTGAATTTTTTTGTTTTTGTTTTGTTTTTGAGAAACGATAATGTTAGTAGGTTAAATTGGTATTTGTTGAGTGAGGCCATTAATCACTTTGACTCAGCAGAATTACCTAAATCTGTCTACAGTCAGAGGCATGTCTTGCATTTGAACTGAATCTAAGGATTGAAGGGAACCTTAATCCCTACAAGGAGGTGGTGTAAATGTGTCATTACGTTCAAAGGGCCATAGGTGAATATTTCTTGGTGCATAAGCCAAATGATGAACAATTTTAGGAAATTAACCCTAAATCAAGTGTTATTTTTTGCCTTTAATATTAGGAATTTTTCTGATTGTAAGCCAAGGGGAGAATCGAATCTTGTGGATGACAAATTCAATGTCAAATTAGGTTGCTCATTATATGGTTTAACTGAACTCTCCCATCTCTCTAGTGTAAAATATATTGTTGTACTAAAACAAAAAAAAAAAAAAACGGAGAGGGAATATTTTATGAGTATTAGGTACACAACTTACGTGGTTTTAGAAACAACGGCAAAAATTAGTTGAATGGATGCATCTTCAAACAATAAAATAACATTGAAAATTAACAAATATCACTAGTAGAAAAACATGTTTGCGCGACGTCGTAAATTTCGTCGCGCAAAGTTATTTTGAGCGACGCACAACACAAAACGTCACGCAAAGTCCTTTTGCGCGACGTCAGTGTGCGTCACTCAAAACAATTTTGCGCGACGCATTAGTAAAGATGTCGCGCAAAATAACTTTGCGCGACGCACACTGACGTCGCTCAAAGTGCCGTCGCGCAAAGTTCTTTTGCACGACGTTGTCGTACGTCGCGCAAGATCTTGGCGCCAAACAAAGAATGTTTTAACGCTTTTTTGTCAATTTTGCGTGACGTACGTGCATGTACGTCGCGCAAAAGTGACTTCGCGCGACGCATATTCAAGTACGTCGCGCAAAGTCAACGACTTTTTCAGTTTGGGAAACAGAAACTGCAAACCCAGTTGCAGCAGCTACCTCCTCCCCCCCTCCCCCAATCTCTCTTCAAAACCTTCTCTAATCCCTCCCATGCTCATAAATTCAACATACAAATATTTCATCTCATTTCATCATGCAATCCCTTCCTTGCTATTTGATGGTCTTTGATTTGGAGTAAGTAAATCTAATTTAGCTGTTGAGAATTGAATTTTTTTTTTTTTAGAAACATGAACTGAATACTTTTGATGGGTTATATATATGAAGGTTTCAATCATTTGTTTTGAATGTTTATTGTACAATGGTATAGAATCAATTGAATTTCATGAGAGAATGCTTGTTATTTGGATTGTGTTTAGTGGTTTATTGAACAATTTAATTCAATATGAGTTGGACCCTATGAGTCTCATTAGGATATGCATCTGTATGCAAACTGCCTCAAAGCTGTTGACTTGCCTTCAGTCACTAGGAAATATGTTAGTCTTGGGGTCGTCGTAGTTATAACAGAGAACAAGATGTCTTCCCCGTTAGTTTTATACGGGTCACTAACATAAGTGAATCCCAAAAAGATTCAATTGAAGAACAAGACACTCATTCTCTTCTTGTCTATTTGTATCTATTCATCAAGATTACCTATTTCCGTAACTACTAGTCTATATCTTTCTTAAGAAAAAGGGCATATGGAATATTAGTTAATGGAGTGGAATTCTCAATTAGACAATTATGAATCACGAGTTGAAGCTTTTCAAACACGCAAACGTGAATTCTATTCTCAATTGTCTCGTTACTTGATCTCTGTATATTTGTTTTTTGTGATTTTTTACGTACACAATCTCAAAGCAATTTCGTATAATGCGTTTCCCATCAAATTCAATGGTATATGTATTTACTAAGTAGATTTTAATTTATTTATTTTGTACTCTTAAGCAAAAAAAAAAAAAAAAAAATTGGCTCGACGTAAGTGTACGTTGCGCAAAACATCTTTGCGCGACGTACGTTCCTAGGTCACGCAAAGATGTTTTGCGCAACGTACATTTCCGTCGAGCAATTTTTTTTTTATATTTTTTTTTTGTATTTTTTTTGTTTTTTTGTTTTGGGGTTCTTGCATTGCCTTTTCTTTTGTGGTATCCACTTGTGTAAATGTTTTAAATTGACGATCAAATTAGTACATTGTATGCATATAGGGTTAAAGAGTATAGCTATAAAAGATCATCAAAATCGGAGTTAAAATAATCGTTAAATCGTGATTTTTCGTTTATAGCCGTCGAAAATGTTTGTCTTGTTACTTGATCTCTGCATGTTTGTTTTTTGCGATTTTTGGCGTATACAATCTTAAAGCATATACAAACAAGTTTGATGGTTGGATCGTTGAAAATAGTTTCGTACAATGCGTTTGCCATCAAAATATTAGATTCACTAACACTTGGAATTTATTTATACTTTCATTAAGTATAACATAAGATTTTGTGGTATCCACTTGTGTAAATGTTTTAAATTGATGATCAAATTAGTAAATTGTATGCATATAGGGTTAAAGAGTGTAGCTGTAAAAGATCATCAAAATCGGAGTTAAAATAACCGTTAAATTGTGATTTTTCGTTTATAGCCGTCGCAAATGTTTGTCTTGTTACTTGATCTCTGCATGTTTGTTCTTTGCGATTTTTGGCGTATACAATCTCGAAGCATATACAAACAAGTTTGACGGTTGGATCGTTGAAAATAGTTTCGTACAATGCGTTTGCCATCAAAAGATTAGATTCACTAACACTTAGAATTTATTTATACTTTCATTAAGTATAACATAAGATTTTGTGGTATCCACTTGTGTAAATGTTTTAAACTGACGATCAAATTAGTACATTGTATGCATATAGGGTTAAAGAGTGTAGCTGTAAAAGATCATCAAATTCGGAGTTAAAATAACCGTTCAATCGTAATTTTTCGTTTATAGCCATCGCAAATGTTTGTCTTGTTACTTGATCTCTGCATGTTTGTTTTTTGCGATTTTTGGCGTATACAATCTCGAAGCATATACAAACAAGTTTGATGGTTGGATCGTTGAAACTAGTTTCGTACAATGCGTATCCCATCGATTTCAATGGTATATATATTTACTAAGTAGATTTTAATTTATTTATTTTGTACTTATAATATTTAAGAAATTGAATGATATATATGTAAAAAAATTATTGTGGGTTTTTGTTAGAAAAATATATTATTGTGGGGTTTATGTAAAAAAAAATTGAATTTGAAATGACGAAAGTCACATTTTCAGTAATTTTAATAATAATTAAAAAAAAAAATGTGTGTGACGCATTAATGTGATCGTCGCGCAAAACCACTTTGCACGACGTCAAATTGTATACGTACGTCGCGCAAGTTGTGATAATTTTGGCGCTGCGGTAGTGAAAAATAGGCCTTTTTTTTTCAATTTTCCAAGTTTGGACAAAATCTTGAACCTTCCCTCTTCCTTTGATTTCTTTATTTGATTTCAAGGCTTTATTCGACATCACCTGTAGGTCAAATTTTCAGAAATTTATTCAATTTCAAGGCTTCAAGGAACTTCAATTTCAAGGCTTCGACATCAACGAAGCCAACATCGGCCGTACAATCTTGAACCCCAAATATCCCTCTCTTTCCCGTAGACCCCAAATATCCCTATCTCTTTCCCGTGAACCCCAAATATCCCGCCGCTCCTCCATCGAGTCACGTCGCTCCTCCGTCCACTTCAACGGCGCTCATCCGGCCACACACATAGAGATGCAGGAAGACGTGAATCCGACACCAATCGAGTCCCAAAATCTAGGTAAGGGTTTATGATTTTCACTGGGTTTTGGTTCTTTAGGGTTTAGGGTCAAATTTCATGTTGATTAACTTGATTTCTGAGTATTTTGCCAATGTGTGAGGGTTTGAGGACTGTGGGTTTCGGATTAGGATGGGTGTAGTGCATGACTTGCATGCCTTTAAGTGGGTGGGTGCACGAATTTGATGGTAAGTTTCTGCACATGTTGTTATGAATCCAAGTAAACAATAAACTTGTCACTTCTTTAGATTTATCGAGGAGGAAGAAAATCAATTTCTGGTGGACTATTTTCAAGAGGGAGCTGGTCCTGTGAACCAGTTTTTTTCAACTGGTCATTTCTCTATTTACTTGACTAGGATTAATGAAATGCACTCACATTTAAACGCCGTTTCGCATCAATTGGCTTATGGTTATATCTAAACCAATGCGTCTTTAGTTTCTGAACATTTTTCAGTATAATGTTATCGATAAAATGAAGATTGCTTGTGATTCCCCCTTAGACTGTCAACGAAGCTGCAGGTTGTCTATTAATTATCAGTCTTCTCAAATTTGGTTATCACTGGATTAACACTGGAGAAAATCTCCAATGATTTTCTGTGCTTGATTTGCTTTAATCTACTGTTTCAAAACTTTAGTGAAATTTAGAAATTTTCGATTTGTTCAAATGTGTAGAACATGTTCACGGATTGTAGAGTAGGTGTAGTCTGTTAGGGGTTGGATATAAAAATTGATCAGCTTTCAGTTTTGATATGGATTGGCATATTTTGTATTTATGTGAATAGAGGATATAAAAATTGTGCAACTTTCCGCTGTTTGCATCAAACTATGCTTCATTTTGTTTCAAGGGAGCATGGCTATGAAAGCACATGGAACTGTTGCAATTCTCAATTTTAAGAAGCTTGATTTTGCATTAAGTATGCAGTTTGCACACCATCGATTGATCGTTTATTTTTTTTTTTGTAGTGTAGGCAATATCATTGCTTGGAGCTCAAACTCTAGTGCTTTATCTCTTATTTTTGTATATTCTCTAGACTATGCAAGTGCCAATGTGCTTGCTGGCTATGACAAATTGCAAGTCCTACTTCTTGGCAAGAAGTATGGGTCTGGCGGCAATGGTTAATGATGCTTTGTTCAGTTTTCTTTGCTTTTTTCACACTTGGGTTATTTGTTCAGTTTTCTTTGCTTTTTTCTTCTAGTTTCAAATGCAAGAAAGGATTAGTTTCTAATGTTATATTTTTATGGTTAAAAAAGTGTATAGATGTCGCATTTGATCACTCGTCGTCGGAGTGTGACCAATGCGCCTTCCGCATTATCAGCATCTACTGCTCCAGTTGTGAGTGCTCCATTGATTGGGGAGCCTACACCCCTTGCTGAGCCTGCTGCTACGGCGTCCCAGGTGCCTGTCTCATCGACGTCATCAGTGTCGGTTGAGCAGGTCAGTGCACGGCGGCCTCACCGGCGCCGTCGTAAGCCGGAGCCTTCTGATCACACTTCCTCGGCATCCAGAGTAGAGGGTGAGGCCTCCCAGCCAGGTAGTTTTTTTTCTAATTCTCACTATGTTGTATTTTTTTTTCTCATTTTAAAACTATTATTTTTATGATGGTCAAAATTTGTTGGATTGTGAAAATGTGTTGCAGGTTGTGAATTACTGTTATTTTACTGTTATAAGGTTTTCGGAAATGCTATACCATTAGGGGAGGTTGTGTCAAATTTTTTTTTTACAAATTTAAGCTTACGATTTTCACCATTTAAGTATTTTTGGCCAGCTAAAAAAACCACCAGGGGACCTAATCGAATGTTGAAGCAGTTAGAGGGCGCACGGCAGAACGGCTCCAAGATCAAGATTGTGTATGACCCGCGACATTGTGGAGCGGCTACCTCACAACAGCATAGCGGCATCGCTACTAGCTGTGGTGTTGTTATTCGAGATAATTGTCCCTTTCAGCGGGGGTCTTGGGCAAAAATTCCCGAGGAGACGAGTACATTGGTGCGAGACAAGTTGTCGGTTAGTATATTAATTTTTAGCTGTTATTATTTTTTTAATTTTGTTTACAAATATTCAAAACCAAAATATATTATCTTAATATTATTAAATTTGTTACAATTATTTTATTATTTTTCATATTCGTAGTGCGTTTATGATCTTGAGGACATATCCCCTGAGGCTATGGCCTACTTAGAGGGGACCTTAGCAACCCGATACAAACAATGGAAGAACAATTTTCACACGCTTTTTAAGCAATGGAATGATCCGGAGATTGCTCGTCTACATGTTCCAATCGAGTTGAAGGACCGGCCAGAGGATTGGGAGTGGCTTTGCAAACATTTTACGGACCCAAAATTTGTGGTATATACATAATATTTTAATAATAATTTATTATTGTACATTGTTATTTTTTTAAGCTTTTTTATTAATTTATTTTCAAATAGTCGCACTAACATGTATATTGTGTGTTTAACAGAAGAAATCTATTGCTGGCCAGAAAGCTCGGGAGTCAAAGACACTTCTCCACCATTCTGGTTCAAAGCCCTTTTCGTATAGGCTTGAGGCACGACGTGAGGTAAAAGTAAATTAACTTTGAAATTTTATACAATTTATTTATTATTATTGATTAATAAAATTTTCTTCATGTTTTTTTCTTCAGGAGGGTTCTATGTTCCCAGAGATCGACATGTTCGAGGAAGTTTACGTTCGACCTAATAATGAGACCACTAAGCAACTTCATGTAAGTATATGTAATTATTATTATTCTTATATGTAAGAATCGTTCAAATATTATCTATATTTTGTTATTAAACATTATATGTTTTTTCTTTATTATTACAGGCTACTATGGTGGAAAAAAGAGATGCTGTTCTCCACGAAGCAACATCGCAGCTTCCCTCGGAGACTTCGATCGAGGACGTCACGCTACCTGAGGATGTAGGTTTTCAGATCATGACTGATGTCCTGGATCGGAATTTCGGTCGTCGTCGTGGCAAGGTTGTTCGAGGTATGGGGAAAGTGCGAGTTCGTGAGACGGGTGCCTCTTCTTCCAGATCGAAAAGAGTAGAGGTCAATGCATTGAAGGAGGAAGTGACGCAGCTGAGGGCCGAGGGTGAGCAGATGAAGGTGCAGCTGAGGGCCCAGGATGAGCGGATGAAGGCCCAGGACGATGGAGGTGAGGACCTGTGTCGGGAGGGTGCAAGAACTTGTACAAGCCATACAGATGGCTGGCCTCCAAATCTCGCTACCAGCACCTCATCTTGCTCCACCTTCGACCTCAGACCCATCTCGCCCTGCCGATACCCAGTAGCTTGATGTATTAAACCAGTTCACTTGTAGTTTTTTTTTTGTTTGGACATCTTGTATGCACATTTTTATATATTTTATAATTAAATACTTTTGTTTGGTTAATTAATTATTCTTTAGAATTTAATTATAATATTGATCAAGAATTAAAAAAAAAATAACTCGAATTAAAAAAAAAAATAACTCGAACCAAAAAAAGGGTTTTGCGCGACGCATACCATAGGATGCACGTCGCTCAAAGTACTTTGCACGACGTGCACGTACGTCGTGCAAAGTATTTTGCGCGACGTGCATCCTATGGTATGCGTCGTGCAAAGTACTTTGCACGACGCACGTATACGTCGTGCAAAATACTTTGCACGACGCATACGTGCGTCGCGCAAAGTACTTTGCGCGATGCATGTTATTGTTCGTCGCGCAAACTTTACCGTCACTGCCTTGGCGCGACGGTCAGCGCGCGACGAACCCTTCGTCGCGCAAACCATTAGGCAACGACTTTTGTCTTTGCGCGACGCATTTATGTACGTCGCGCAAAGTGTTTTTTCTACTAGTGATGGTTAAAAAAATTAGGACTACTTCATTGTCTAGACTACCGAAGACAACCCATCATATTATCAAATATGACTACCTTGTATGTAACCATGTTATCTTTTATATTGATCTTCCATCTGATTTTCCAATCATTTTATATTTTCTTTCGCATCTTTGTACGTGGGGTAGTCATTAATATTGGGCGGGGTATTGTCAATATTAACAAGATTATGTTATTTAATGTAAATGGGTTGTATTACTTAGCCATGTAGTATTACATGTAGATTTTTTTTTCTACAAATAAGAAATGAGTGGTGGCGGACTATAGTAGCTCCGTTCATGCGTAGTGTATTATTCTCATATTATAATAAAGATGGATGACAGAGTTGATATGTCGCACTTATAGTGTATGTAGATTAACAAAAAACAAACAAATTCATATGTTATAAGTGAGTAGAATAGTAACGTCACGTGGTCATATTTTAACTACACCTAAAAATCTATCAACGAGGAGGAAATTCAAATTTGTGTGCAAGAGAAGTTCGAGAACAACATTACTCTAGCAAAGTGACCTAATCCACATATGCATATTAATACTAGACGTCTAGTTTCCTTATTCGGAAAAGGATCCTCGCCGGATCCTTTTCCTGGGGATCCTAGGGATCCCGTGATCGTGACTGTTCATCGTATATCGTGCGGTTAGTTTTCGTTAGGTACTATTTATATTTAATTTTAAATTTTAAATTTTGAAATGATTTCCGATCGTACGATGTACAATAAATGATCACAATCACAGAATTCCTAGGATCCCAGAAAAAAGATCATGCGAGGATCCTTTTCCTCCTTATTCTACCTTTCCATTTTTAAGTTTACTTCTTGTTGTTTGAATGTTAAATAACAATAACCCTAAAATTTCTTCTCTGGAAAACTTCTCTTTTTTTGCCAACCCATAAAAATTGAGTCAGATCTTCACCACGGTTAAATATTATACATCCCAAGTAACCCCAGATTCCATTACTGTTCTTTTCATAAAACTTCCACTATATATACAGAGGAAAAGTCTAAGAACCAAAGAAAATTAAAAAAATAAAATATCCATTTCTCCTTGTCCCACTCTCCCCTCTTAACAAATCACTTCCTCCTCTCCTTCCCACCACACAAAGTTTCGTTCTCCAATCATCTCTCTCTCTCTCTGGTGTTTGCTTGGCTGCGAGACATGGACGACTCCACAAACAGTAACACCATAAAGTTGGTGGTTTTCTTAATCTTCATCATGGGGCTGCTATTAACCATTAACCCTGCATCAGCAACTGGTAAGTTAATTATATATTTAATTTCTGCAACAAGTATTTAAGTTTAATTTATATATAATCGCATACAGTTACTCTTTTTATCATGCAGGTGAGACGTATGAGCCAAACCTAAAGCAATCAACAACGACGGAGACATTTCATCCCGCCGGTCCGACGGAGTATAAGCTTTTTATTGATGGCGTGACTAAACCTAATCACGATACACAACGGCGGCGACTGGCTCCATATCAGCTGTGTTTGCCGTGCAAGTGCTGCTCAGCCACCACCTGTATCTCCATGCCTTGCTGCTTCGGCATCGACTGCCAGCTCCCCAACAAACCTTTTGGAGTTTGCGCTTTTGTCCCCAAGACTTGCAACTGCACCAATTGCACAACTCCTGCTTGATGCCATTCCCCCCCCCCCCCCCCTCTCTCCTCTCTATATATATATATATTCTAGCTAGCTATATATAGGCCTCATCTTTCTCTTTGAATTTATATATATCTTCTGGTATATACTTGTGTATTAGATCTTAGCTGGCCGGCCATATTTGAGTCACATCAGTTCGCATTTCACAAGCCAATCAAGTATTATCATATGATAAAGTTAAGATATATGATCATGCGTGATTGACTTATACTGCCGCAATACCGCTTATTATAGGTGGATTTCCCGGCTAGAGTGAGTGAAGGAAACAATAGTTTAACAAATTTGAAATTTGGGAAATGCACTCTATTTTTTCCTAATATGTTTTAGGTCTATCAGATCCTTTCGCCAGCCGATCAGATTTTTGAGTTCCAGCAGTAGGCCTTGACTGGAGGAAAGGAAGCAGCATTACACAGATTTGAAATTAGGGTTTTGAGCCGATGGCTAAGATACAAATGATGACAACCTTGCATTGTCAGAGAATTCAGAGGGTACAGATTGTTATTCGATGTTTAGAAATCATAAAACCAAGAAGTTCTCGTATAAAAATATATCGTGTTGCCACGCACCCACGTGGGCAACTTGTTATATATAATGCTTGAATATTTGTACATGCATCGGTCCACACCCATCACATACATATATTCTTGTTCTGGTATATTAATTTAGTACATGGTTGAATGGAGATGAATGGCCTTATAATTAAGTTTCATAAACAATAGTGTCATTGTTTGTTGAATGTTTTCGTAGGAATCAATCCTACTTGTAATCGCTTTAATTTTGTTTGAAGCCCGCATTTGTTAGAGATACATTTATATTTTTTATATAGAAATGAGGAGCACTAGTTAAAAGTGTTTCTGGAGACTGGGGCATTGTGTAATAAAGGTGCAAGACCAAAACAACGTATATATGCATCCCTTCTAATTGAAAACAAATTCTAGTCATTTATGTAGCTGCGAATGGATTCAATGATTGAATGTCATTGGAAAAAATCTCTCAATAGGTGAGACCCATTTCAAATAGTGTAAAACCAGAATCCTACAACTACCTCTACCAGAATCCTACAATTCCCTTTAGACAAAAAGTGGGTTAACTAATGAAAGAAAGGTGGAACCAGATGCATTCTTAAAAGAAAAGTGATTTGCACTATCTGAAGAATATTACATTTTAGACTTCTCCACAATGGTAGGAGCTCTTTTAAGATTTTGAAAGTGCTTTTAGGGGATGTTTGGAATTACTTTTAGAAGAGCTAAAAGTGTTTCTTGACAACTAAAAATACATTATGACGACATTTGGCAAATAAACTTAGAAGTACTTATGGATCATTGAAACACTTTTTTGGATAAGCATCTAGCACTTTCATGTAGATTAGCTGGTGGAACAATAAAGGCGAAAATCATGCAACAGGAAGAATGCCTTGTATATTTGGGCTAGGGTGCCTGATTTGGGCCTTTGACTTGCCGCTTCAAAGAGAACAGTATCACAAGTTCAAGTCACTTACTTTGAGGTTAACGTTTGATACATTATTTTTGTCACATGCGTCACACTTTTACCAAAAATGCTTATGACCACCATAAGTACTTCGTATGCGTCACACAGACGAGATTGGAGTACTTTTTTAATTTTTAATTTTTTTATTTATTGGAATAAGGTGTTTTATTGAATCAACATAGAATAGTACAACAAATAGCTAAAAAAATCATCCAAAACCAAACATAAAAATTATGTACAATAGCTAGTCCAATAACATAAAACGAACCGTTTCAAGTTTATCATAATATGTAGCCATGCATGCATCAATTTTGCTGAACACGGACGCCAAGTAAGAGAGATTTCTTTTCAATGTGTCCGAAATAAAAAACGGTACAACACGTATCACTATATAAATGGTAAGATATTTGTGTTAAAAAAATTAATAACTTAAAAATAAAACTGCCCTTTACTTATATAATGACACGTCCCATATTCTGAGCAAAATAAAAAATTTCTCGCCAAGTAACGAGTTTTGTGACATAGAATGTACGCTTCATAAGTAAAACTTGATTGTATGCAGAAACACTAACTACCCCAATGTGAAGGTGTTTAGGGCATGAATTTAAAGACCACTGGTATAAAGTAAAGGGTACGTGCTGCTATCCACATATCCATTTTTACTTTTCACACATCTCTTAATTTTTGGTTGTCAGATCGAATGAATTGAAGAAGATTAATGACCATAAACTAACAAAGGTGTGTGGAAGGTAAAAATAAGAGTATAAATAACACTATCCCAAGTGAAAAATATATAGCTAAGCCTAAGCGTATATATTCTTTATATACTCTAAATTGATGAAATCGTCTTGCAGGTGATTTTCACTTTTTTTCCTATTTAAAAAGGGTTGAGTACAGATAATTACCCAATCTTTTAGAGTGATTCCAAATTAGTCAATCTTTTAAAACGTTTTATGAATGAGACGATTGATAGGTCACTAGCGTTAAGTGATGATCTTACCAACTGATGTTTCTAGCATTAGATGATGAGGTCGACAAATATAAAAGTTGTTCTCTACTAATTAATCATCTTCTTTGGAGCTCTAATTTCCAAGTTGACTCCTTTTAGCCAAGTTAAGCCGTAAATTTGCTTGGCTAATTAAATTGCGACGATTTGGAAATTCAAAGCTTCATAGATGACTTGAGAGTAAAAATTGCCTTAATCATCGCTTAATGTTAGTGGACCTAACAAATGTCCACTTTTCAAAACATTTAGATAGTTTTTTGGAATGTTTTAAAAGGTTCCAATTTGGAATCACCCCAAGGGTTTTTACTCTAGAAAATTTAGAATCACTCCTAAAGGTTTTGAAGTTATCCAAACTTAACTCAAAAGTTAATTACGATGATTAACTAAGTATGTGAGATAAAGATTTTCTCCCAAAAAACATAAATAAGTGAAAGGTTTTTCTTTTTGTTTTCTTGATTGGAAAGTGAACATGTGAATTTGAAACACATGCACCCTCTTCTAAAGTTAGAGTCCTCTTATAAAGATAGAGTAGGTGGTATTGCCCCATTAGTTTATACTCTGACCATAGGAAAAAACAACATTGTACCTTTTATTTCCTTAAAAAACAAACCGCAATACTAATCTTGGTGCTAATGGACGTTATTGATGCTTACATATCTTAAGATAATTAATGAATTATAATGGGATGACTAAGACCATATTGATAATATACAGTAATTGGGGAGTGCCCTTGCAAATTTTAATTAGTTATCTATTTTGTTAGGTGATGTCCTTAATTAATTAGGCTACCTAGCTCATGTCGTGCCTTGTATATTTGAGAAAGATCGATCAAGAGAAAGATTTATGAATTTTAACATTCATCGTTTAGTCTTTTGAAATACACCAGTGGGTGCAAAAAATTATAAAATACTCAATTTGAAGTGAAGAATACGAAATATATTGACAAACGTAATAGATTCCTTTGTCCATCCGATCCCTATCACACTATAGTCAGGTTCCTTTCAAAGTAATTATACTATATATATATAGAGATCAGACAACGAAAGGAGATTGCTGCCACCAGTTTAATTGTCACCACTCATTTCATCATTAAGTTTAGTATATATTCTCACTAGGGATAATGCCAATTATATATTAGGGTTATGTATATGTGGCTGTATGTGTTACGAATTTATTTTTGAAAGTGTGTGCATGAGATTTAACAACATTATCCATCGTAAGACATTCCTCTCCTTTCATTTCCCGTAAAAAGGATTTGGTTAATTAATTACTCGAATAATCTAAATGTCAGCATGGTTATGGAGAAGCAAGTCAAATAAAAGTTGCACGCTTCTCACTCATGTCTAGTATATATATATACTCTTCTCACTCTCCCATCAACATCACTACCGAAGTGGGAATAATTATCTAAAGTCGATTAATGAAAACGATAAGCAAAACAACACAAGTTCATACGGGATTGTAAGTTATAGCCTAAAAGGAGATGATGACATTATATCATAAACACGAAAGTCTCGGTTCTAGCCTAATGTGTACCCATGAAAGTCCTTCTCGGTTTACAAATTAACACGATGTGATGCATGTCTCGATCAGTAGTTGTGCAACCTGCTGAAAGCTGCAGCTATCCTTATAACTTAATCAGATAATGGTTTAATTTACTTAATGGGGCACTACTAAAAAAAAATCTCACCCCCATCACCTCCTTCAAATAGATAGAAGGCTGCTCTTGTACTATATTTTATGTCGGACCACGAACAGTTATATTTAGTTTAATAATAATTTGTATATATTATCCACTAATGAATTGTGAAACGTCGTTAATCGTTATCCTTAAGTCACTATTGCATCCTTAGTCTTAATCCACGTTTATTTCTTTTGTTGCTTTAATCTGTTCCCGTATTTGAAGAAGACAATGATCCAACTCAACTTTGTTGGAAAATATTAGTATTTTGGTTTATTTGAATGTTTGGTTTTCTGGGCTTAGCCCGTTAGAATTAGGTTTTGTTAGAAATTAGGGTTAGGTTATTATAAATATGGTGCTTTGTTATTCATTAGAGATCAAGTTAGCCACAATGTAGTTTCTTAGGGTTTTGTAGCCGTTCCGGCATTCTCGTTTGTTTAATAATATTCTTATTATTTTGTTAGTCTCGTTCGTTGTGCACTCTGATATTTAACTAAGTATCAGAGCAGGTTCAATCATTCGGGATTTAATCTGCTTGGTCGGGTTGGTATTCTGTTTGTCAGTATGTATTCTTGTTTTTATCTTTGGTTTAGTTTGCAGAAGAAAACAAAAAAATCAGAATTGAAGTTGTAGTCACCGCGTGCAGCCAGACCGGTCAAGTCCACGCACTAGATCCTGCCCGCAACCTAGCCCTGAACCTTCTCCTCCTCCAGATCCTCCCTCACCGTCTACATGTCTTGTCGCTGTCCCCGCAACGTACCAGACCCGGATCCTATCTGCTCGCCTGCCGCACCACCATCAATCCATCTGACCTTGGTCCCTCATCCTCCTCAGCCGCTTGCAGCTGCCTTGGTCCTCATCATCCTCCGCTAATCTGCATCCGCCGCCGCTCTAGTCTGTACCTCCCCATCCGCACTGGATTTGATGAAACCAGTTGCACTGATGCTGCTTCTGCACCCTTGAAGCTTGCTGTTGCAACCTGCGGGAGCAACCTGCAAGTCTGTATCACTGCAAAAGAAAAAAAGGAGAAAAAAAAAACAAGAAAATGGAAAAAAAAAAAATTGGTTAAGTTTGTTTTGGCCCACACGGGCAGAGAGGAAAAGTGGGTTGTTGGTTGTTTGCAACCCATTTTTTGGTTTAATGGGCCACACAAGTTGTTGGTGTTGTTCGTTTGTTGGTACAATTGAGATATGGAAATCTCGTCTGTTTAGTGACGGGTTCTTTCCATACTCTCAATACTAGCCAGTTTGCCAGCCAGAATCAGCTTGCCAGCAAGAATCAATTTGCCAGTTAGCTAGTTCACCTGTCTGTCCGCGTTACAGAGCTTGCCTATCTGTCTGTTCGCGCTGCGGAGCCTACCTGCATGTCTGTCCGCATGCGGAGCCTGCCTATTTGTCCGCCTAACGGAGCCAGTCCGCATTTGCTTGTTTGCAAACCCATGTCGTATACCGTCATGAGTTTGACAGGGGGTGTTGGAAAATATTAGTATTTTTGTTTATTTGAATGT